TTTTTTTTTTTATGAGAAGGTAGAAATGTCATCACAAGACAGAAAGTAGAAGACTAACAGACATAGATGCAAAAATGTTTATAAGTTGATGGTATGAGAATGAAGAGTTTCATAACTGATATCTTAAGTTATTTCATGATTAACACCTTTCAATAAAAAAAATTAAGATCATTGAAACTATGAAGGCAAGGTATGATGTGGAGGAGTTTGAAAAATTGAAAAACATTATGTAATATTGATTTCAGTTTTCTTCTCTGACTCTCTTTTCTTTCAAGCTGCCCAAAACACCTTTTCCAAGTTTCCCAGCAGCCTACCCAATGCTGTATACTCAGACTGAATCTGAGCTGACATAACAACAGAACCTCAGTTGATCACTACCTTCTCTTTGCTATGTTTTCCTGTAGTCCTCTTAGAGTTCTGTGCTTCCTCAGTTTTTTTTTATCTCACTTTTCATTACTGTTTCTTTGTCTTCTTTGACGGTTCATCTATTTCTTTCCAAAATATTAATGTTAGAGTAGCTAGGGATCTGTCCTTGGACTTCTCATTTCTGTCTGTATTTATTCTTTTCGTACTCTCACCCAGTCTCATGACAATTCTCAAATGTGTATCTTTGGTCCAGAATTCTCTTCCAAACTTTATTTCCATTTAGATTTATAATAAATGTCTCAAACTTAGTATGTGTAAAAATGAAATCTAGAGTTTAGATTTCCTTCTACAAAAATGTCCATATGCTTCCTTCCCATTCCCATTAAAAGAATTTCAATCTTTCATTTGTTCAAAGCCAGAAACTTTGCATCATGTTTTATTTCACTCTTTGACATCTGCTTCCTTCTGTTACAAATCCTATGTTGTAGCTTCAAAATATCTGTAGAATACGATTATTTCATAGCTTCTGCACTAATAAGCCAGCACGAAGCTTTGCTAGATAGCACAGAATCCCTGTATGTTTGCCTCACTGTACTGCATTCTGTTTTCTTTTTTTTTTTTTCCCAGTGCTTGGGATTGAACCCAGAGCCTTGAGAATGTTAGGCAAATATTCTACCACTGAGTTATATCCGAAAGCCCTTTCTGAGACAAGATTTCACTAAGTTGTCCAGGCTGGCCTTGAACTTGTGAGGCAACTTCCTCACTCTCCAAGATTAAAGCATGCACCACCATGCCAGTCTCTACACTCCATTATTCAGGCAAATGGAGACCTCTCTTTCTGCTTTCTGATCATCATGTGAGCTGGTTCCTCTGCCATACTCTTCCACCATGATGTCCTACCTCATATCAGGCCCTGAGAAATGGAACCTGCTACCTATGGATTGAGACCTCAGAAACTGTGAACTCCTAAATAAATTTTTCCTCCTCTACAGTTGTTCTGGTCAGGTCCTTTCATCACAGTAGTGAAAAATCTGACTAAAATACTTCTTCTACTTAAAACTAGCAATGCCTACACATTCACTTAGAAAGAAAGACAAAGTCCTTACAGTTCCCAGAAGGACCTTATTATTAGGCCTCACAAAACATCCATGTTCTTTTTTCATTGTCTCTTTACTTACTCTGCTTTAGCCCTGGTAGCATTCTTGCTGTGTCTTGAATGTACCCAACATGATTCTACTGTCTTCCTAGTATATTTAGTACTTTTAAAAATCAATTTATTACATTTTAAAGTTACCAGTTTGCTCTAAAACTTTGCAAGATAAAATTTTATCTTCAAAAACATGGTGAGGTATTGTAGTTATCAGCTTTTCCTCACTGTGACCAAAACACCCAATATGAACTCTGTGGAGGAGAAACATGTACTTTGACTCACAGTTTCAGAGGTTGAGTTCATGGCTGACTGACGCTATTGCTTTGGGCTCAAGGTGTAGCTGGGCATTATAGCAGAAGGGCATGGCTGCGAATTACTGAATTTATGGAATCCAGGAAACAGAGCGGGGAGAAGGTGTCAGGGAGAAGATGAACCCTCCTAGAGCACAATCCTGGTGACCTACCACTAAACACCCACCACCTGCCTACAGTTACCATCCAGTTAGTTCATTCAAACTACAATGGACTGTTCAGGTTACAACCCTCAAAATTCAATCAGTTACCTCTGAACATTTCTGCATTAACACAGGAGCTTTTGGATATGAGGCGAGAACACCTCATAACCAAACCATATTATTCCAGACTTGGCTCCAGAAAGATCATGTCTGTCTAACAACGCAAAATGCATTTAATCCATCTTCAAATCTTCAAGAATCTCATAGTCATAACAATTCCAACATCACCCCAGATCGAAGTCTAAAAAGTCTCCTCTGAGACTCAAGGCAAATACTTGGCTCTGAGCTCCTGTAAAAAAAGAAAGAAAAAAAAACGAGTTACATATATATCCAATATAAAGTGGCATGAAATAAACATTCCTATTCCAAAAGGGAGGAATCAAGGCATAAAAAGAAGAGATAAGGCCAAAAATAAATCTGAAACCCAGGCAGAAAAACAGGTTCCAAAACTTCATGTACAACGTCTAGGACACATGGTGGAAATATGTGTTCTTCAAAGGGCTTGAGAAATCCTTCCCTTTTGACCTTGAAAGTAGCAGTGATAATGGAAATAAGATCTTACCAGAGACGACATTATGTTCTCAGTTTTTGTGTTTTTGCATGAGAGGTTTTCAAGAAAAATGTTTTTGACTTAGTAAAAGTATATAAAAGTTTATTAGAAGAGAAAGAAAGAGGAGGACCCTCAAGATAGAGAGCAGATACTCCCAGAGAGAAGAGTGATAACTCATTTCTTTGTGTCTCAGCTTTTATTAGGACAGGAGCCACATTGTTAGAAGATCCCACTCAAGTATCACCTCTTGGTTCTGGATCAACAGACTGTGTTAGCTAATAACCTAAGGGAAACTCTTGGACATCTGGGCCTGGCTGACCTGGCCAGGTCCTAACTGGAATTAGTTTTATAGAATTTATGGTCAGTGGGCTCCAGTCTTAATCATCCTGTTGTCTTGGTCTGTATTATTTATGTAGGGTCTTGCAGAAGATATCTTAGCAATTAGGCCCTTCTGAGAAAACACATATTTGTCCTTCCCTGAATTTATCCATCTTTCTTTGGTTGTAAGGAAATAATTTATAGAGCTGAGATCATGCAAGGGGCCTGAAGTAGCTATCTAGTCAGAACTAGTGGTACCATTGAGGTAGATCTGATTTGCTCTGTATTAAGTATTTTCTTAAACTCCTGACTGACTGCTTGTGTCTAACTGCTACCTCACAGCAGAGCTCACGTCCTCTCTCTTGGCCTGTCTTTCTTTCTGAAGCCAGCATCTTTTCTTAGCAAACAGTCCATGTTACTGGCATCTCTTAATTCCCGTGGCCTCCATTCAGCTTCAGTTTCACTTTCACAGCTTCACATGTCACTCTCTCAGGAGCATTCTGTAGGGACTCTGACTCTGCTACACTTTGTCTGGCCTCCCAGACCTTGCTTTGAAAGTTCAGTGATCTCTTAAATCTAGTATCCTTTATTCCTATAAAACCAGCACCATGTGAAATTTGCCACCAGCTTGCACAGTAATTGGGTCCCCTGGGCCCACAGCTGCAATAGACTTTAAGTGCCTGAGTGACGGAGCAAAGTGAAATAGCTTCTTAGTTCCCCCTTTGCAAGAAGGATATCTCAACAATCTTTTCTCAAAAGATTTTTTCCTTTCTACATCCTTGAGTCTATATTTGGCGTGGTATTGAACATTTCTGAGAGACCCTCAAGACATCTTTGCTAGTGTCTCTGTGCAAAATACTTAGCATCTCTCTATTTACCATAATCTCTTTTACAACCATGCATTCCTTGCTCCCAGTTTTCCACACACTTTTCTGGCCAAACTGCCTTTTAAAAATCCTTTAGCTCTGCTTTCTGCTCCCAATTCTTATAGTAAAATTGGCTACTGTTTTTCATTATATTGATCACCATCTAACATATAATTTACTTATTTATCATTTTACTCTTTATTTTTGCTTCTGCTAGAATAGAATATAAGTTCCCCAAGGGCAGAATAACTTTGTCTCTTTTGTTCATTAATAAGTCCTAAGAGTTTAAAACAGTGTCTGGCACATAGTAGATATGCAATAAATATTTAATAGATAAATTAATTGAATAGCCACCTAATTTCAGAAAGTGAACCTATAAAAGAAAATTTAGAGGTTTATCAGGAAGTATGGAATGCACATTTGAAGTAGATAACCATTATTTTAAAATGAAATCAATGAATATAATTGAGTTTCCAAAGAGGTGTTTTGCTTCTCAGGTATAATGGAGAAAAATGGATTATAAAGCCCAACTAGTGTTGTTGYTGTTATTTTGCAAGTTAATTTGTCACAAGAAGGGAGGGATGAGAAAAGGAAAAAAGGAACAATTTCAACATGATAAAATGAAATATATGCAAATTAAAAGATAATAAAACCAGAAGATGTCTTGTGAGGGTCAATTTTTAGAAGTCCCAATGAAGCAGATGCTGTATCAAGGCATCAGGAGTACCAGACAAATGGGGTTGTGGGTGGAGATAGAGTTCTGAGACAGGCACATCTGAAATTGCAGTTTAAGAGGTTTTCTATACCATCTGTGAAGGTAAAATCCAGCAATSGTTTTGGAAGTGGCTGATTGTAATGGAACGAATGAGGATATCTTTGGATTTGAGCAACTCAAAGATCTGAGAGAACAGAGATTTCTATGGGAATTTTAAAAGAGCCAAAATTGTGAAAGAAACATGCTGAATGAATTATTATGACCCATGAATTAACGTTATCAATAATAAGTGGGAAATCAACAGAAAACAAATAGGTTACAGCAATGGAAAGAATAATGAAGTGGTAAAGTTTGATTTTGTTTAATAAAATAATTTTTAAAGGTAAAGGAGGTTTAATATAGAAAAGAGGGAGTAATGGTTATAAAGTCTTAATGGAAAATAAGGATAATTATTCAGAAATGCTAAATATTTTATTATTTATGAATTATTCAGAAGTATAATTATTTTTATTTTTATACAGACTTCTACAACTCTTCCAAAAGCAGCTGGTAGAGAAACCAAATATGTAAGTACTTTTATAACTATACATAATGCTTTTTAAATGGATGTCAAGTGTATACTTTGACAGGAACTCAACTACACAATAATTTAAATTCAACTAGTTGGTTTTTCCCTAAGTGGAAAAAGAGGGGTAGGATGGTGTGATTGGCCCAGGTATGAAAAATCAGATTWTGTCAGGGATAAAACATCAGGTAAGCTTATCAAATAAATTCTGTCTTAAATGAAACCTAGTTTGATTAATTCAGCTGAATAAAACAGAACTGTAACACCTGCTTTCTGTCTGTTTAATTATCCAAACTTCATTTTTATTTTTTAATAGTTGTGTTTGTTATAAAATGGTCAATTCGCATACTTGAAACATTAAGATTTGTCCATTTCCAATGGAATTCCCAATTTAGTCTACTGACTAGTTTGTTGTTTCCTGCATTTAAATTATTAACTAAATCAGTTTCTGTGTATAACAAAATAGTTACGATAGACTGATAGCGGCTATGTACATATGAACTATACACTTAGTTCAAATGACCCTGGTGAACTGGATCTGAGTGTGTCTTGGGCACAGGCACTTGGACACACCTACTGTCCCCATTCTTCACTCACCAGACAGCAACATATTACTCATGGACCCACTCTTGCATTTGAGCAAGCACATTTTAGTACAACTGTGATTGTCTTCCAATCAAGTGCTGAGTGTTCAGCCTAAAACAAAGCAGTAACCTGTTTCTTTAAATTATATATTAGTTTCCTAGTACATAGTTTTTGTCATCCTCCTCAAGAGTAAATAGTTATTAAATGTGTATTTTGTGCCATGCCATCATTACAGTTTATATATTTGTGCCTTCATTTGAATCTCCCGAAGGCAAATAATGAACTCAGTGAAATTATTAAATGTTATCACATTTAGGAAATTATGTTTACAGGACRTGGGCAGGAACACTGCTTACAGCATTTCCTGGAAGCTTTCACTGCGACATTTCATTATTATTGGGAGCCCTTTGGAGTAATGCTTAAAAAAAGTGGAGGCATTTAGTAGGTTAGACCCAAGTGTATATCACAGATAACTGCCTGATTGGGGGTAGATGGCTTATTTTACCTTGTGTCTGAAGAGTAGATACCTGCTGGAGATCTGTGTGTCACTAACTTTGTATAGATTCATAGATTAAGTTCAAAAGCAGGAATTGCACAGTTTACCAACTCCTGTACCACAGAGGAGGTTGAACAAAGAGAAGAGTTGAAGTAGAGCCGARGAAAAATGTCTGTCACATTTGAGCATATCCTCAGCAAATTAGCACTGACCATCCCAAAGCCTTATTCTTGAGGCTCATAAAAAGATTCATATATAGTACATGGAACATTACCAGTAAAAATGCTAGTTGGTATTTTTGTCTCCATTATTCAGTTTTCCATTTTTGTTCATTGATTCAACAAATATGTTTATTGAGGATCTGCCATGTACTGGTCACTGAGGAGTCACTGGGTTGAAAGGGACAAATACAATAATAAGGTCCTATTTCTGAAGCATGTTTTCCAATGGAGGAGACAGACAGTATGCAATGAAAATAGAAAATGGGCAAGGTAATTTTCTTGTAGAAAGAGAGGAGAACTTTCTGATGGATGTTAAAACAAACTTTCAAAGTTGTTAATTTTCAATCTATTGGAATGTTCATAGGATTTACAATTTTCCTAGAACGATTGTAATGGTTTCATTAAATAATAGGAAATTGTATAATGATTCATCCTTATGGGCTTTGGATGAAAGGATGATTCCTCTCAAAACAAGGAAAGGAAGGAGGAAAATTAGAAAGAAAGTCACTGCAATACAATATTACTTTACTTCTTTTTTGAACATTTTGTGATATTTCACAGTATATGTTTTAAGATATAAGTAATCCATCTATTCAGATGAAAGCCAAACTTTTCTTCAATTCGTGGTGTGCTTGAATGATGGTTTTAAAGTAACTTAATTGATATTCTCCTAAGTGTAMTATAAATAAAATTAGTAATATAAATAAAATTAACAATACATTGAATAGGTAGCAATTGTTAGGCTACTTGRAGTCAATTAATTTATCATCAATGTTTTGCTTCTTTTTAATGGGTACTAAATTAGTAAATGTTTTGAACTCTTATCTTGCAAATAAATCTCAGTTGTCTTATTTAAACCACAACCTTGTCATGTGAGGTGGGAGTTATCACAGAATTTCCATTTTACAGAGGGAGAAAACAAGCCTCAGAAATCGCAGACTAGGCAAAATACAACCCAGGTCTGCTCCATGACAAAACCTCTGCCATTGATGTTGTTGAGCTTATAGAAGCTGAGAATAGTTTGAGTTTTTAAAGACTTGTATCCGTTAGTATAACTATTCTGGGTTTAAATTATATATTAATGCCTAATAACCATTAGTCTAAACTTGGAATGAATACTATCTGGTCTTATTAACAATTAAAATGATAATACCTTTATGTTTTCAGGCTTTTAAATCACTTGCTTTCATGTTTATTAACTCATAATTTATCAGATAATATATGAGTGATTATTTCTCATAACAGTTTTAAGTAGTTTTTTTTTTACCCTATGTAAAGGAATTATTTTTTAATTGAAATTTGTATTTTGTTTTCTGTTTACTCTATCAGTTTTAGAAGGGAATCCTTTTTGGAAGGGATTCTTTTTCTCCATGTTATGAGGACTTTTGTAAATGTTTATTGTTTTCATTCATTGCTACCAGTTTAAATTAATTTCATCCATATAATTCAAAACCACAGTATGCTTTCTTAATAAAAAGCAACCTCAAAAAAAGAGAACTAATATTACTATTTATCAAAATACCGGTGGTTGGAATAACATTCTATTGATAACAACTTATTCCATAAATTTTCTATATTTCATAAATTGCTTTTAAGTGCCAGGGAAATAAATGAGATAGGCTTATTAAATATTAGTATATAGGTAAGATCTCATTTTAATGAGCTCGAGGGACAGAAAATGTCATAATAATGAAAGTATATGTCTTCCAAAATATCACAATATATTGAAAAATATGTCAAACTTTATTAAGAATATTTCCTGCTACAAAGAATATTTCCTGTATTCAAAGAAGGTCATCTTCTCCAATTTAGCCAGCTCACACACTTCTCTTGTTGCTATGCCTGGAAATGTTGCTATGCTGGAGTGTTTCAGAGGCAAAGTACACTAACGCAGTCATAGATCTTAGGTGACTAAAATCCACCTCCATAGATCTGCCTCCATAGGATTAGGGTAGAGGTTTGATGAATTACACGAAGAGCTGTGTACAATTTAAGCAAGAAATTCCAGTCCGTGAACCAGTCTCACTTATTTATGTTTTCATTGTTCAGAAATTTTTCTGAAGTGTGTATGTATGTGAAAGGACTTGACAGGGGAATGAAAGAAAACTATCTGGGCTCTGCTAAGTGAGGAGGAAGAGCAGAGTTTGCATGTAAAACACTTTAGGCCTCCTTTCCTTTTCCTTATGGAACATGAGTTGCAAGGAAAAGCATCTCAAGAAAATGGCCAAAGAAATTGGTTGTACTTTGTTTGCATCTGACATTATGGGAGATGAAGATGGTTTCACCCAAGCTAGCTTGGTACAGATGGTGGTCCTGTGTAGTAATTTATTTTTTAATGAATTTTAAATCCTTACTTTTCCCCCTTAGTTCTTAACTCTTTTAGTTCTTACATAATCTTACTCTATATTTTCTTTGAAGTCAGAAAATTTATTTCCATAATTTTGACTGTTCTTTTAGTTTTAATTCTTAAAAAATTGTGCTTCTATTTGTTTTTGATTGGTAATAATTAATATTGATAACAATTAATATTTATGGGGTACAATGTGAGTTTCGATCTATGTATGCATTATACAAAGATTCAATCAAGCTAACTAGCAAACCTATCACCTCATCAATTTATCACTTTTTGTGATAATAATGTTTAAAACATATTTTAGTAATTTTGAAGCATTATTATTCATTGTGGCTACAATGCAGTGAAATAATTCATTGAACTTATTCATTCAGCCCAACTAAAACTCTGTACATCTTCTTTTCTCTCAAGCTCAATATCTTCTTTCTTTCCTCTTCTGCCCATCACCTTTCCTGCCCCCAACCTCTGTTAATCACCTCCCTGGCCCAGTACACCTTATTACACAAGGTCATGAAGAAAAATGTTAAACAGTAACCTAAAGTAAAGACAGAAGATCCTCCAAGTTATGGCATTCATATTGACAGCAGCAAAAGAAATTAGAACTAGTGGGAAAGTATCTTCCAAAGATGAAAGATACCATTAGCTAGAATTCTGTATCCTGTTGAACTCTCATGGGAGAATAAAATAAAATAAAAAACATTTTCAGATAAAAAAAATGAAAGACAGTAAAATCTGAGAAAAACTATCAAAAAATTATTTCAGTAAGAAGGGAACTAAGGTGGTGAGAGAAGTGGGAAGTTAGCAATCAATGATCATCAAGTTTTTACTTGTGCAACTGAAAAAAGTTCTTGTGATCTGCTGTACAATAGTATAACTATAGTCAATAATACTGTATTATTACAATTTTATTAAGAGGGTAGGTCTTTAGCTTAATGTTCTTATTAAAATAGAATAATTTTTTAAACAGGAAATTAAATTCAGATGAATAAAATACAGGAATCAATGTTGAAGAAATGATATTAATATGCTGTTTAATAGTTTAAAACCAAATCATTTCCATTCTGAAATCATGAAACTTAAGTTTTCTTTATATGTAAAGAAAATTTAAGGGAAAAAAAGTATTTAAAAAATTTGTATAAATGTCAACAATGTTCATATGTGTAAGTAAAATATAAAATAAAATAATTAAATGTTAGGTAAACTTGAAGAATTTTTGATGGCATGTGACAGTACTTACATTAAGAGGGAAAAGCAGTATATTAAATACCATATTCACTCTGAATAAAATGTATAGAAAAATATTGTAGGCAATGTACCAAATTGTTAAAAATCATTTCTTGTTAGCATGCTTTTATTTTTTCTTTATACTTTTCAAAGGCCTACATTACTTTAGTAATAAATAACTTCAAATATTTAAAGTATAGATATATTATTTTACTAAGTTATACTGTTTGTTTTGCAGGCAAATCTCTCATCACCATCCTCTACAGTGTCTGAGAGTCAACTGGTATGTATTTTCTTACAAAGTCATAGACCTACTTCTAAAAATTTTGATTTCTCAAGACAATTTTATCTGAGGGAAAATGAATTGAGGATAAATTTACTGTATATAAGTTTGTTCACATACTTGTCTATTAAAAATTTACTGATGTTTTAGTAAAGCCCCATGGTGGTTGTTTGGTCAGAAGACAAACTTACATAAAATCATACATAGACCTACTTGCCAGTGAATTATATTCAAGTTGCAGTGTTAGAAGGGGTTGGGTTGGAGAAAAAACACTACTGGAATTTACAGAAGAGAGTTCACCTCTTCATGAGGGAAATCCTGAAGGACTTGAGAGAAGGTCACAATTGAAAGCATAGGGTAACTTTTGGGTTTGTAGAAATGAGAAACAAAATTTCACACAKGAGGATTGGTATGTGGATGGTCTAGCCCAGTGCTGAGCAAAGCAAATACAATGTGACTTAATAAGTGTAAACCATGTAAGCAATTTAAAATTTTCTAGTAGTCATATTAAAAAATAAAAAGATAACATCAATTTCAATGATTTATTTATTTAATGCAAGATAAATTTTTTTTTTTTAATTTTTTTTTTATTGGTCGTTCATAACATTACATAGTTCTTAATACATCATATTACACGGTTTGATTCAAGTGGATTATGAACTCCCGCTTTTACCCCGTATACAACTTGCTGTATCACATCAGTTACCCTTCCATTGATTGAC